ATAAATACAAGTTTAACTAAAAGGTAATGATAAAAGAATTTTTAATACAATGGAAAACCAACCTAGAAATAGTACACCACCACCACCATATTCTGCTGCACCTATTACTTGTTCCTAGTCAAATCTCTCTCGACTATTAAATACTAACAATATTGCTAAACCTCATCAACCACCTAACCCTAATGATGATAGTTCATCTTCTGGTTCAACCACTAGAAGCATTAGAAGTATTCAACAAATGTATTTAAATATGGACAAATCTTCCTTACAAGTATCTCGATGTTAATCACACCAACCATCCACCACCCGTTCCTTATCTTGCTAGCCTTCCTTCACCTCTCAAAATGAATCTACTTCCTAACCTAAATCTAGATATCGTTCTAGATCACATCATACCGATTATAATCGATCAATATCTCCAGCTCAACAACCTTCTTCAAGATCACGATCACGAGAGAGATCATCAACATGTGATAGATCATCCAATCAAAATCATACATATAGTCAAAGTAGTATGTATATAAAGGCTTTTTTTTTAATATTTGTTGTTGTTTTTTTTTTTTTTTTTTTTTATTGTGTGCATTAAGCAAACTACAACCACCCTGATCGCTCTGATCACTCTGACCACCCTGGCCATCCTGACCTCTATAACTGCCATAACCACTATGACCACCATGACCACCATCAGTATCGTCAGCAAGTTGATGAGCGAATGTTTGCCCAACTTAAGCATTTATATTTAATGCTCAAAAGACTTGAGAAAACTACAAATAAAATTAAAGCCAGGCTAGGTCACCTAGAAAGGCATCAAGAAGAACAAGAGAATGATCTCTCTGTGCAAGTGATAGATGTAAGTGTTTTGGTTTAGCAACAATTTTGATTTAGCGTGTTTAAGCAGTATATAACATTTAGGATCTAGCATGTTTAAGCAATATATAGCGTCTAGTATATAATACATATATTGTTTTTTAAAAATATATATAGGACATGTTTACTTGCATGGCCAAGCAGCTGTTCCTGTATAACATATATCCTAGTCAAAGTGATTTAAAGATTGGCTTAAACAATGCCTTGAAGAAAGGTATCCTGAGTTTATGCATAGTTTAAGTTCCAATCAATATACTAATAGGTTTTATGATGAATGCTTCAGCCCTGTATATATCAATATCTATCATTTTTTAAGATATATTTCTTTTAATTATGGCTTATTTACTAATTTTTACAATAGCTTTTGCAAAAAATAAAAAACCTGTAAGGTGCATCAGTTCAAAACGTAAGGGCAGCAGTCTGGCGCATTTTCAGTTGTGAAAGACTACTACTATTAAAAAAAATGCTGCATCATCCTATATAGTAAGTTGGAAGCAAAGTAAAGAAGTTTTGGATTGTTATTATGTGCTCTTTGAAATAAATGATGAAGGTGTCTTTTGGATATCAATAATTGCGAGAGCAGCCTTTTCCGAGATTGCTGTACCTACACTCTCAAATGAGCATTGCACTTTTATGCTTAAAGTCTGTGATATTTTACTTAATCCCAAGTCCAGAAGTGTCACATGTTCAGAAAAACATCTTATGCATTGTATTGAAAGATATCTTGTAAATGCCATTATTAATTGCATATACTTTATTAATAGTAATTAATTAATTATTTTTTAATATAGAATGATTTCAGTAATGGTGGTCCATTATATGAAACAGCTGAATAGATACTAAACAATGAGAATTATGGTTCTTTACGACAAGCATCGCCCCAGTATGACCCGTCGCCCCAGTATGAACCTGAAGCAGGTTCTTCATCATTTCAGCAATTATCTCAACATCAAACAGAACTTTTACAAAAGGATGCTGATGATTTATTTGGTTACAATAATTAAATTTTTGCTTTAAATGTTTTTTTTGAATTAGTTTACATTTGCTAGCAGTTATTATATAATAAATTATAATAAATTTTATTATTTGTGTTATAATATGATTATACAGTTTTAGTAACAGTAATAAATTTATATTATGTATTGTAATTGGCTTTATAAATAATATGTTTTATAAATATCTTATTAGTAATATTGTCTTTTAAAAAAAGTACTTGATTAAACTGGTTATATATCGATTGATAACCTTATTAGATATATATCGATTGTTTAAAGCTGGTTATATATCGGTTTATATCAAAATCGATATAACCTAGCAGGGGTGATTAGTATTGATATATATCTAATGGGTTACCAATCACTATATATCCCTATATAAAATTTCCTGATGATTGCAAATCCTCTTACTTAGAAAACAAATTAAGTAAACAAGACTAATGCTAATAAAACTGAACCAACAAAACAAATACTTCTACTAATACTAGATAATATTGAAAATATTAATTTAGCATTATTGCTAAACAATATACAACTTACATTTTCAATAACTCTACAAGCTAAAATTATATCAATAATACAAAGTCTTAAACAAATATATATAATCAGAACAATTTTTAATTTTTTACTTAACCTACCACCATTGCCTACACCTATTTGAGAAATATTCAACTTTTCAACTATATTACTAAACCAGTTATCTACAATAAATATGGTGGCCATGGATATCTTCTAATAACATATCAACACACCACTCCAACTAGCATAACAATTTATACATACAACATTATATAACTATTGTAATACACAATATCCAAAGATATAACAATATTACTAAAAGAAAATAATAACTGAACTATTGCATTAGCCAACAGTTCAATATCATATCACTTACTAAAACTAAATTAGCACAATTTCAATATACTTATCTTATACTTTACAATAATAATTACAAATGCTTTATGTCAAACAACAATACTACTAACCCAAACCATCCTAGAGAATTAAGTATAGGAACAATAGTTCTTATTAATCAGTTATTTACAACATACATTCACAATATACAAACAATCAATGGTACTACTATTGCAATTGATCTTTATCTACTATATAAAAACAATTTTCAAATTATATCTACATATCTACCAAATAATTCTGATGTTAATAAACAAACACAAAACCAAATTATTTTTTAAATTACAAAAGTACAAAAACTCAATATTATTCTATTAATTATAAAATATTTCAAGCAAAAACTTAACAAACCATTATACTCTACTCTATACAAATATCTTCTATTATACAACTTTATTTTTTTAATATATAACTATCACTCTAATATTTCAACTTAGACATACAATAATCTCTTTAGCCAAATTAATGAAATTTGGATTCTACAACAAATTTTATATATATTTATAACTTTCAATATTATTAATCTAACTAAAATTACAAACAGTAATTACTATATTATTTACTTTACAGAAACTTGATTTTTTACTAAATATAATAATTATATAATAATTATATTAATATTATATAATTATAATATTATAAATATATAGGGGTATGGCGACCTAGTGAAGTAATCAGGTTGTTAACCCTCAAGTGGCAGGTCCAGAGTTCAAATCTCAGTGTCAATAGAAAATTTAAAAATCCTTTTTATGTTATAGTTAACTGTCCCTCGCAATTGGTTAGGATAAGATACCTGTAATCTATGTCACACCAGCATGATTGGCAGGTCACATGGCATTTGTGTAACAGTCACATGACATTGTCCTTTAGGACAAGGTCTGTGGTTACATAAAGGAATGCAAACTAGTACCAGATGGTACAAATCTATAATAAGTTCTCATGGCAATGTAAATTATAGGAACCAATAGAAGAAAGATGAAAGCTCACTTGAAAGACCTGAGTAGAGAGGTAACCTGAGCTTTCGATGGTGCTACTGTAAAGACTAGACTTATGAAATGAAGCTAGAACTTGTTAAACTAGGCAAATGTGCTGGTCTTTGAGGAGGGACCAGATAAACCAACCAGACCTCAGAATTTTCGGGTTCTGGAGGAAAAGGGTACATGCTAACAAACATGTAAACCAGAAGTGTGGTTTCAACCTACTTTTCCAGGCTATCTGGAATGGAGCTTGGTAGAACTTAAATTGAATACCAAAGTAGTAAGAATATGTTGTGAACTAAGTACTGGGGTTGTAGTGAACTTTACAAGAGCATAGCAGTTTAATAGTACATTCTGATCACTAGTATTAGTCTCAGCCATAATGATATCAGGTCAGCTGTAAGAATAGGATACAGAAAATTCTAGAAGGTTTAGTACAAGGTCAAAAGTTCCAAAGAACTGCTTTAAAGACTTAGTGGTCATAGCATATTTTTACTAGTATCGACCAGAGTCATTGGTAAACAGAGGTAGGTGAGTAGATATAGAAACAGAGTAGTTAAATAAGGAACCTACAAGTAGGTTTTAGGTATGGCAGCTAATGTAGAACCTTCGGTTAGACTACTTAAATTAGACAATAACTAAAATTGTATGAGTAGCTAGTTGTACACTCTCTCTATAATTGCCTCCTGTAGTTATAAAGCAATTATTAGCCAAATATACTATCAATAAAATCCTGGGTCGCAAGTACTCACCTTAATATTTAAAAAAAAAAAAAAAGTAAATCATCCCAATGATATTATGGTTTAAGTCATAACTTGCTAAAGCTTATGTTGTAACTAGTTACAGCAATCATTAGAACAATTTACCTGCATCTCTATTCTGAAGGCATTATTTTAGATAAATACAATAAAAGAAAACATTTATGATTATCATTTATTGTATTGAAATTGATCATGAAAATTCTTTTAAATTAACTTTAAGAAAGTCTAATATATAATTTTGATTATGCCTGTTTAACTAATTTTACAAATCTGTGATCAAGCATTTAGTATAAAGTTTTTTTATTCTTAAGCATGCATTACAATCACATTATAATGATAGTTTTAATAAAAGCAAGACTAGTCAATTTTTAATTTTTTGTATTTTGTTTTTCTAACAATCTTTTTGATAAATATATAACAATATATATACATACATTATTAATTTTGAATTTGGAAATAAAATAGCTAATTACAAAATTGAAATGTTTAAATATTTTGAAAACCCAAATTGTATATAACAGCCTTTCTTATTTTATTTCTATAAAATTTGTAAGTCTAATAATAAAATGCACTTAGGAGAAAGACAACATAGCAATTACAAGACAAAGAAAGCAACTAGTTAAGCTTTTTTTTCACATATCTTGTATTTTTTTCTGTACAAGAACATTATTTGAGTTTGTTTCCATCTGTAAATAAAACAGGATATTATTGATTAATATTTAATAAATGCAAATTTAATGTTTTAGTCAAAGTAACAATCTTATTTATAATATTTATATTAATTTCAGTTATACTAGACCTTGCATGCATTAAACAAAATCAAACATCTGATTCTAATATATATCACAATACCTTAAGCAGTAACAAATTTTAAAAATAAGTTTTTTTTAACTATGTAAACATCAAACATTAATAATATAATATAAATTTACCTTATTGCATACTATATATGTGTTTCTGGTAGCATCTCAGACTGTTATTTTTACTTTAATTTTTTGATAAGCTTTCTTCAAAAGCTTTTTTTAGTCAACCATGCTTCTTTTTCACTACAGCTACAGATGTATTCTTTTTTTGAGATCTGATTCTTTCTTTCTTTGGCCTTTCAACTGTTTTGCTCTTAGGGGAATTGTTAATTGCTAGAAGTTGTAAAGATGCTATCACATTCTCTACATAGATTGAATTTGAACTATTGTTAACATTAATATATAAAGCTTTCAAATATTTCTCAAGATACAATCTAAAGTCCACATATTTATTAGGATTAGCTACAATCTTACTTGTGATTTCTTTTAATAATTGATTAATCTGCATATATTGAAGTTTGGAGACATATTTACTAAAAGATTCTTCTAATGCTAGAGTTCCTAAAGCTTGAGTTTGTGAGTGGTTGTAAAAATTAATATAAGCTCTTATAAGCTCTAATTCAGATGAATCCTTTTGCCAATGTTTTGGAAAATAAAAATTATCAAGTTAAGAAAAAGAAAGGTGAATTGCTACTACAAGAGAATAGTGGCATACTATTTTAGCAAACTTAAAGTTATAACAACTGCAAGTAAGTATACAGCCATCATAATATATCCAATGTATAGTATCAGGTTTCTCAAAACATAATAATTTAAAATAACACAACCCATTATCACTAACTATTTTCTTACACATATACATGTTCTTTTCATTTTATTTAGCAGAAAATTTCTTCCATGCATATTATGTTAAACAATTAGCTGCTTGATTTTTAATAGAGTTCTTGAAAGTAAAACAAGAGGAGTAAACAAGCTCCTTGTATGCAGAAATATTTTCAGCTTCCTTATGAGCACCAAGCACTTGTTTGAATGCAGCTAAAAAATCAGTAAGCATAGTTTTACTATCAAGAAAACTTTTCAGTAATTTATTTATTAATTTTTCTCTTTGTATTAATAACATGTTAGCAAAAAAATGGTCTTTAAGATATGCCAGGACCCATCTCTCATGCCATTGATTAAGAACTTCTAAATACAATCTTATCTCAGTATAGTTATTATTTATTATAATATTATTCCATCACTTCTCAAACTTATTTTGATTAATATAATTAATTAAACATTTTATAAGATCTATATGAAATACATCATATTTGGATCCAAGCTTGGAAGTCATATTTGACCTAATGTTCTTAAGCATATGCCATATGCACAGACTATGCTTTGTATCATGCTTATCAGTTAAAACAAAATAAATAACATCAGCCATTGGAAGGTTATTATCTGTAAATATAGTTTGAAGTGCAGTTAGAGGTCTACATTGGGTTCTGCAACCCAGCCTAGTCTGGTCTAGCCCACAAATTTTTGTAGGCCAAGCTGGGCCTGAAGCAAAATTTTATAATTGCAGACTAGGCTAGACCAAAAAATTTGCAAAATTTTATAATTACAGGCCAATGCAGGCCTAAAATTTTGTAAAATTATATAAGAAATTTTTGCAGACTGGGCCAGTTTGGGCTGGACTGAAGAAAAAATTTAATATATGCAGGCCAGGCCAGGTTGGCAAAAAAATATTAACTCTAAATGCAGGCTAGGCTGGGCCAGAAAAAAAATTTACTTCTAAATGTGGACTGGGCTAGGCTTCAAAAATAGGCAATTTGCAAACCTTTAGGTGTAGTGCAAAAAATATGAATAAAGACTTCAAAAAGCTATTCAAAACTAAAACAAATCTTGTCTTGAAGCAATGCACTAGCAGCATAGTAAGAATATCCTTGATTAGTAATATCCATAAACATCCTGAAAGACATCGAAAAATAGTTATATTTATATGTATTATCATATATGATTACATTGTAAAAACACATATATTGCCATTTTTGTGATGAATATGCCAATAATACATGCTTTAAATGGTTTTCATGGTCTAACTCAAAATTCAAAAGAAAACTCAGAATCATTTCTATGTTTTTGCTACAAGAAAAAAAAAAATCATAGGCCTAAAATCTACTGTGTGAAATACAGTCACAGCTAATCAAGTTGTATATATCTCAGATTGTTTATTTTTTAGCAGTTGGATCATACTTTACTACAAACAGTAATTGAATTTGTGATGTTGGAATACCCATCTTTTTTAAAAGCAGATTTCTTTCTTAATATTCTCTAGTATTTTATAACTAGTAGGTAAAATACATATGAGCTAAACTGAAATGAAGAGATGGTTGTAATAAAAAATTAATTGTAAAATATAATATTTATTATTGTTTTAACTATGATTGAGACAAATATACCACAGACAATCATATTTTTTAGATTTCACATTTCTATTTTTTTTGTTAGAGTCTTTAGGTTTGAGTTTAAATTGACTATAATAATCACAAATAAAAACTTGGATGTGATGAAAGCTATTACTGCAGTTGCTATCTTTATTGTAAATAACTTTAAACTCCTTTGCTTTTGAATATTGATTGGCCACATATTTGAAAGCTTCAAGGAAATAGTAGCTTTTGTCTTTTTGAAAAAGTATATTTTTAAGTAGTTCTGGTAAATTTTCAGATCTTATGCCTTTAGGTTCTGCTGAGTCTTTAGATTCTACTAAGCCTTCAGATTCTACTAAGCTTTTAAGTTTTAATAAGCCTTCAGGTTCTAGTAAGCTTTTAAGCTCTAATAAGTCTTCAGATCCATCAAAAATAGAAGATTAATCTGGCACAATTTTTTAAAAAACATTAAAGATGATATTAATATTTTGTACAAAACACAATTATATCAAAGTACTAACATCTAACCTATTATTACTATTATGATTTGTTTTTGAATATTTATTGTAATACAAGTTATTATTAAAACAAAAATTTATTGAGTTGGTCATTACTTTTGCTTTATTATTAGTTTAGTAAATCATTTATTTTTTTTTTCATTGGGTGGATAGGTCATTGTCACTTTTTTTTTTAGGTGGTTCTTTTGCCTTTTTTTTTGTTAGATGGGTTATCATCTTTTTTTTTATTATGTGAGTTGTTACTCTTAATTTTTTATTTAGTTGGATAGATAATTCACTTTTTTTCATTAGGTTACTTTTTTTTGTTAAGTAAGTTGTTCTTTTCTGCTCTTGGTAATTGTTACTTATGTTATTTTTTCAAAATAATAATTACTAAATACAATCTCACTTACTTTAGAAATTGTAAAAAAAAAAAGTTTCAAAAATTATTTATATGACTTATGTTCTAAATAAAACTTACATTTATACATATATAAAATAACTTTTTAAAACTGTCTACCACTTATTATTATTGTTTAATATCAGTTTAAAAGTTCACAAGTTACTCATTATAAAGACTTATGATGGGTTCTTAAGGTTAAAAGTTGGGCTGCTATTTTTATAACTCATGGGTAAAAAAATTTTACTTTATATTTGCACAATCTATATATGTCATATATATATATAATAAACTATAAAAAGGATTTATTGCCTAAAAAAAGAGATCATTTAAAGCCAGGTAGTAAATTTGTAAAGTAAAAGTCATATGAAACATATATTACTATATATCTGGTTTTAGATGATTTCTAAAGAATTAACAATTGACCTATTGTCTAGAGCAAGATAAAACCTTAAATCAAGTAAGAATCATTGCTTTAATTCAGATACTTACAATTAATTAGATTTCTATTGTTTAAGAGTGTACAAGATAAAAAAGTTCTGTTCAATACTGTTAATTATAAAAGATAATTAAGTATTATATTTTTATTAGTTGATATGCAGAAGATATCTAATTTATATATTTCTTATAGAAGATGCCTATAATTTTTCTTTTAAAAACTTTTCTAATGAGACTAATAATATATTTCTTTATATATAAACAAATTCTCTAAAGACAAACAACTACTTTAGTTTATCTATTTGAAAAACTAAGTTATAAATTATTCTTACAATTGTACTCTTTATTAACATTTACACTTATCTAATACAAACTATTATAGTTATATAACTAGTCATTTTTTTTCATAAAAAAAACCATGATTTATTACAATTCTTGACAACCAAATTATTATTAACAAAGCTAAAAGACAGTCTTTACTATCTAGAACTGTTCTTATAACTTATTAACTATATTATATTGAATTACAATTTACTTACCTTTATCTTCTTTTATCTATTTAATCAAATGTATGCTTAAACTGTTATCTCAATTCTTATACAATAGCTAACAAAATATAATTATTATTTTTATTAATATTTTAACTAAATTTTATGATCAAGTTAATACATATAACAAAACTCTTAAAGGTAAAGTACAATATAGATTATTTTTATATATAATTAGTTGCAAAAAAAATTTTAGATAGTAACTATAAAATATATTACTAATAAAACTTTTTTATTTTTTAATTAATTAATAAAAAAATTTTATAATATTATAAATAAAATTATTTATTCATTATAGTAAAATTTTGAACTATTATATTATTTTAAAAAAATATACTTATATATATAATAAAGTTTGCCTAAGTCAATTAAAATTTACCTAAATAGTACAAAATTAGATAATTTGATTAGTTAATTTATGTAAATCTATAAGTTAATTTTATTATATATTTTTATAAACTAATGTTTAAAAACTTATATCTTAATGGGTTTTTATTCAATTTTAATAATTTTATTATTATTAAAATCAAAAAAACTTACTCTACAACTTTTATATAAAGATGAAAAATTATTTACTTAATCTATTTTTTCAAAAAAGTAAATAAAAAAAAAACTAATAAAAATTTGTAATTATATATAAAAATGATCAATATTTTACTCTACTCTTAACTTTAATGCCAACCATTTCAATTTTATATATTTTATTAGAATTAAGCACCTTATTCAAACTTCAAAGCTTTCTAATATTACTATTATAATATACTTAATTCTAACTATTTTTAAATACAGTTTACTTATAAAAAACTTTTAACAAATTACTAACTATAATTTCAACTTATCAGAACTTCACTTTTATATAAATAACTTAGTTATAAACTTGAATACTTTATAATACTTAATAGATATTGAATAAGCTTAAATTTCAAATAATTCTTTATTTTATAACTTTTAAACTCAAATATTGATCTTGCTCATTTAAGTCAGAGCTTATTGCTATTTTATTAACTCTTATTACTGTTTCTAGAAACTGTATTATAAATATATATACAAATTACAATTTGTAATTTTTAAATACAACAGTTTTTTAAACTTAATAACAACTATATCATATACTTATATATCATATTTTTTACTATAGAATACACTTATTAATTTTATCAAATTATATAATATTTATATTATTTTTTATATAGTTACTGCTCATTAAAATGATAAATATAACAAACTTGCTAACTAACTAGTATATAACTATTATAACCTGTTATATCTTATTTTTATATCTTATAATACTTACAACTTAGCTTATAGTTTAACTTTTGAGAATTTTCTCTTAAAGTTATTTATTTATTATAGCATTTATACAATATATTATACATATATTTACATACTTTAGATAATACAAACCTGTTTTTAAAAATGATATAAAATTCTTAACTAAGTTAACTGGCAAGTCACTTAACTTTACATTAACAATAATCAAAAAATCTCAAATTTTTCATACAGCTTTTAGTCCTCTATTTTTAAATCTTTTAGAATTAAAATTCTATTAAATAAACTTTCTATTTTACATATTCTACACAAATATTATTATTCATATTTACCTATTTGTCACCAATATTACCAAATTAATTCACATTTCTATTGAATAACTTATCTATTTAACTAATTATTATTTAGTTTTATTGATACCTTATTACAATATACTTTTAATTTAACTTTACTTAATACTAAATCTAATATTATAATTAACTTATATCATCAAA